GGAGAGGGGCAGAGTGCAGCTGAGTGACCGCGCAGCAGGTTCTGTCGGTGTTCGGCCGGAAGGGGAGTATCTGGTTAAACCACCAGTAAGTACTTCCTGGGAAAAAAAAAAAAAAAAAAAAAAAAAAAAGTACTTCCTAAAGCTGTGCGCGTTAACAAGCCACAATTTTAGGAAATGTACAGGGCACTACAGGAGTGGCCAAGTTCATCCAACTAGAAACGATTCTACTCTATTTTTTTCCACGGCCGATAGCTGGGCCAAGTACTGGTGATTTAAGAATGACAGGAGGTGGAGTCCGGGGAGTGTGGGGTGGGCTATCTCCATGGGCAAAAAGGGCTACCGTCTGCACCCGAATGGAACGCCCGGTCGTTATAGCTGTATATGGTGCAACTGTCAATCTAGATGCAGAGATAATGACCGGGCGTTCTATTCGGGTCAAGACGGTAGGGCAACGGAAGCACACCAACACAATAATATGGTGTGACGTCAGTGCCAGTCACAAATGACACGCATGGACGGGATGTCAACTCGGCAATTGACTTGGCCTGCATGGGGCCAAGTCCCCACTTGGCCGGATTTTTCTTTTCTTTTTTTCAAGGGAAAACTGCATGGTAACCGTCGACCCGGACACCGGACCACTTCCGGCCTGTCTTCCGGACCAGTGTCTGGACCGGTCCGGACGGGTGTCCGGGTCCGCGGACCCGGCTTCCGGACTGTCTTCCGGACCAGTGTCTGGAACGTCTCTGGGAAACCGAATTGCATGGACTGTCCGGTGATCCGGACATTGCCGGAAGCTCGGACATCACCGGACCCGGGCAGTCTGGACCCCGGTCTCAGGGGGTCAAGAATGTCCCGACCGAAAACAAAAACAGAAAAACACAAACAGGGGGGAGGGGCGGGGGTGAGTGGGTGGATGGGGCCATGGGGGTGTTGGCAGGCACTCACCCACTTTGCTCTTTGTAGTTCAGGCAGTAGAGCACCTGTCTTGCCCGCTTCCAGCAAATCAACAAGCACATTCAACTACCGTAGCAGACATGCAGACATGCAGAGCTGCAAACAGTCCAAAGCAGCCACAAGACTAAACAAACAGAGGGAAAAAAAAAATGAAAAAACTAAGTTTGAACTTTGAATTAAGTAAAATTTAAGTTCATAATAACTTCATATATATAACTTAAAAAAGTTTGAACTTTGCGGTTCAATTCAGAACGTCAGAGTCTTCAGACTGGCAGCACTGTCAGTGCTCTCTCTCTCTCTCTCTCTCTCTCTCACGCGCGCGCGCGCGCGCGCGAGACAACGGGCAGCAGCGGCGGGCGGCACGTCGGATCGGCCGCTTTGAAATTGCTTGGGCCTGTGTGAAACCCGCCACCCCAAAAACTTGGAGTGTCTTGTGTCCAGACCTGCCACCCCAAAAACTTGGAGTGTCTTGTGTCCAGACCTCTAGGCCCTGTCCGGTGGGGTAAAACCGACACTGAAAAAACMCCCCGTGATTTTTCAAGGGGCGGCCAGGACCCGAAAAACGTCCTCGGCCGCCCTTTTTTTTTTTTTCCGATTTTTGCCCTGGGGGCCTCCATCTGGACACCGGACCCGAACATGTTGTTCCGGACGTCCGGTCGGTTACCATGGAACATTGTTGAAATTCCCCTGGAAGTTGGGGTATATTGTCAGATACCCCTAAAAGGCATGAGTACGGTGAACTGCCCCTACGGCAGTCGTGAAACCTTGCGAAATACCCCACTCGCCAATTGGACCTGTCATCTTTTGCATATACCCCTACCGGCCCCTTGACAACTTGCAGATATGCCCAGGTATTTATTAAGTCCGTTGGACCCTCCACAAGGCAAAAGAAACGCACGGGCCCCTCCATCCCAGGGCCAGAGCATATGGCAAAGTTACCAATGACCGGGACAGGGGCAGATGCAGAAGTTTGGGGCATTTCGGCGTACCCCTGTGTTTTAGGAGTACCTAGCAAAATACCCCAACTTTTAGGGGCATTTCAACAATTTCCCCCCTTTTTTTTTCCCCTTTCTTCTTTCTTTCTTGGCCGCATTGTTTGACCGTCGTAATCAAAACTTCAAAAGTTTTAAATCGCAAATTCGGGTAATTGCTACTCAGCCCCCGCATGAAGTTTGTAAGGCGATCCCATCCACCAGGAGGACGACATGTCAGTTCGAAATCACGAATTCGGGTACTCAGTTCAGATTCCGCCGGATAAAGGTAGGAGGCGGACTTTAGTGTTTGCGCGA